CTTCCACTGCTACATCACTAATGTAGAAATAAATAATGCTTTTCTACATTAGTGATCTAGCAGTGGAAGTGGACAGCATTACAATAGATACAATTGCTTTTCTTAAAGCCTAAGCTCCTTGATTCCTACTATTAAATTGTATTTACTGCTCTTTTCCTGGTGTTTTTGTTTTCTGCAGAAATTTCCCATCCCCATTATTCCAGAGAAAAGCATATTAATATTCTTTCATACTCTTGAGAATATGATCCCAGGGTTAATGAAGGTCTCAAGTGGCAGAATTCAAAATGCATTTTTAGGCAGGGCCCCTATCAGTTCTGGGGCCCTGACTCATACTTTTGTGAAGACTTGGTGTTAGGACCCTGCAGATCCACGTGGGAGGCGTCTCTCCCCATCTTCTCGCACTGAGCCCACAGCAGCGTGTGAAAGGCTTGGGCAGAGGGCAGGCAGCTCTGTGGGTTGCCCCTTTATGTGCAGGGACAGAGATCCAGACCTGCCCCTGGGTGTTATATAATGCTTTTCTTAAAGCCTGAACTCCTCAATTCCTGCTATTAAATGATATTTACTGCTCTAAGTTTTTTGTTTGTTTGTTTTTTACAGAAATTTCTAATCCCCATTATTCCAGAGAAAAGCCTGGACAAGGTTGGGAAATACTGACATAAATGTCACCATGTGCAGCTTATGCATCAAGGAATTGAATTTCCACCGTAGTGAAGTGCCAAAAATCCTGTTCTGATGTTTAAAGAACAGCCACTTAAATGATGAGGAAGAAAAAAATCCCACTTGGTTCCTGTGACAAACATATGAGGCTCGTTGTCCATGATTTGGTAATGCCCTGTAACATCTTGTCACCCAAGTGCTATTTGTAGCCTAGCTGAGGCCATACAGGCTGTGGACGACCAGGGTAGCAGAACAGAATTACTCCAGGGTACAAGTTGCTACTGCACTCCTCCGAGATGATACCATGTAGCTGTACTCTGTATGGCTACGCAATTTACCCATATTCAGAGTAAACATGTATTGGATTTAAATAATTATAATTGTGATTGTATAATGGAAAAAGTGAAGTAGAATTGCATTTAGATTCATACTCATAAAAGAAATTTATGTGCCATTTACTTGTCTTTGAGGCAAAACAGGATTTTGCCCTACGTACTGTTGTTTTGTAATTCCTATAAAACACTGAAATGTCATTTTGAGTCAACTTGAGAACGATATTAAAAGAGATTGCCAAGGGCATGTCTATGGAAGTGGGGGAGCCTTAACTTTCCCAGCTTCCAGAGTCACACCCCAGAGATCCTGGAAGCAGGGAAAGCCATGCAGGCACTCCTGAGGTTGAGGGGCCTGATCCTGCGTGGAAAATCCCGAGGCACACAAGGCTGAGACCTGAAACCCAAAGACCTCCTGCCTGAGGTGGCTGGAGAGTGCGGGAAGCTCCAGGCTGCCTGGGCTTCCCTGCCATAAAGAAAATAGATGTCCACTACAAGAAAGCAGCTCAAATTACTGCTACCTTTTTAGCAAAGACATTGTAGTGTGACATAGAGTACAGATATCTATTTGGTTTTGCTTTGTGCCACCATAAAAATGTGTATGGCATCACAAAGGCAACAGAAGCTGATGTCTGTATTGCTGTGCAGGATTGAATAGACACCTAGCAGATGCCTGTGCCCAGTGTTACACAGCAGTGTACAGCCTTCTCCAACATATATGCCTTAAGTCAAGTCAAATGGGTTTCTCTTTTGATTGACTGAAAGTTAAAACACTCAGTTTAGGTCTTCTGTCCAGGGGGAGTAACTCCAGAATAACCATTCCCAATTAACTTATTCTGAAGTAAGAATCTCCACAGAGGAAATGATCAGGACCACTCTTAATTTATAATCTTATTCTATATTAATTTCCACTCATTCCATTTTGTCAAAACCACAACTTCCCTTTCCATGGCCGAGCTCAGTAACCAAATATCTCAGCAGCTTTTTCTGATGAGTCGTTGTTTTCCATGAGCTATCCCACAGGACTGTCCAACACTAGGCCCCTGGGATAATTGCATCATTGTCTGAGAGTGAAACTCCTTTAGACTTCTTGGCCTGTTGGAAATAGTGAAGGATTGTGAAAGTGTTTGAAACTCTCAGACATTGCAAAACACCATCTCCACACTGCAGAGCATACAGCTCATTATGCAGTACTGATCAACACTCCCCACGTTTGCCGCAGCCATGGACGTAGTACTCTGAAGAGCTTGAAGAGGACAAATCTCATGTTGCCTTGAACAGCTATATTGGCATTATCTGGACCCCATGTTTCCTTTTTACCAGCGCACAGTATTATGATTCTAGATCTCATTCATTTAACATGGTTTAAAATCTAATGAAAACTCTTTATCGTCACCTGACTCAACGCATGGTTTTTCATTGAGGGAAAAGAGGGAGGGAGATATCAGGGATAACCCTGGAATTTCTGGTTCAGCGGCTGTTTTAATTGTGCACTTTCATAAGTTTATTCAAACCACGGTTGTTCCCCTTGAATACTTGTACGTGCTGTCCTCCTGCTATTTCATCCAGTACACAAAGGTGGTAACCAGTGCTCTGTGTTCTCCAGGTGAATACTTTTCTGCCTTCCCCTTGTGCTTTTGGATCAAGTTTCAGTGAAGAAGATGCTTTCCTCATTGTGCCAAATCTCCAGAGTCTCCACGTCGCTGCCTGGTTTACTCACACTCTTCATTACTTTTCATATTTGCAAGGTGGAATCAGGTCAGTATCTCCTCCATATTAATGTGTGTTCTCCTGCTGCTGAAAGGTTTATTTAGTTTTCTGTTGACACATTGCACCAATTGTAGTCTTTCCTGGGAAATGGAAAAGAATTTGTGAGAAGTTCCAGACTGCATCAGCATCATTGTGTGGGAAGAAACAATAACTACATCTGAAATAAAAAAAATTTCCTCTTTCTCTCCAAACATACAGAAGAATAGCTCTTTATCTATCGCCCTATCATATTTCCATATTTCTGTGTGCTCCTATGTTCCTCATTCCCACAGTATCCTCACATCCTCCTTCTCATCACTCCACTGGCATTTCAAAACCAACATTGAGGAGGAAAATTCTCTTTTACAGTACATTTCAATGATTTGATATTTGTATCTAATCACAAAATGTGATTAAATCATCAAAGCACCAAAATTTTTTCTGGGATACAGTGTTCAGAAAATATCTAATTAAACACGTTGACATTTCTATGACAAGGAAATATGTATGTTGTATTTATTCAGGATATTCTATCATTTCACAGACAGTGAATATCTTATGTTCGGCACCAGCTGCAGTTCAAGTTGCTCAGCCCTTTCTATTTTAAACCTGTGTTTTCAGTTATTTGTCACTTTACCAGTCCAGGCTGAAACTCTGCCAGGTGGTTATCCATCTCATGTTGAGTAACTTGGATTTCTCTTTTTACCTCTGAGCTTACTTTGGGGTGTTTTTGGCATCACAGATGGAAATGTTTCCTTGAGGATTCTCAATATCGGGCCTTCAGATGAAGGGCGATACAAATGCTTTGTTGATGATGATATTACTTATGAAGAAGCTGTAATAGAACTGAAGGTAGCAGGTCAGTGGCTTGTGTCATTTATCTCTGCATGGTTTCAGGTTTTTTCTCTTTCAAAATATGCCAACTTTATGAAACCTATGTATGAATTATTTTACAATTAGACACTGTATTTCAGTTGTATCCAGCCATTTTCACATTTCAGACATATTTCAATTTTTGTCAGTATTTTAATCATTTTATGCACCATCTCGAAAGCAGTTAGTTTTTCTTTGCTCTTGATTTCTCAGTACTTAGGACCTTCTAATTTCCAGCCTAAATGTATTCACGTCCAAGTTATATCAATTTTTTCTTGGACCAATGTTGTTTTTTAGCCTAAATAGTGCTTTTTCATTCGTCATATTTACTCCCCAATATAGTTACACATAGCAAACATAATCCCTTTCTGCCTCTGTTTTGCTAGACTGAAGAAGCCCAGCTGTTCTCCTAAAATAAACCTTTCTCCTTTGAAATCCCAAACCTCAGTTACAGGCCTAGTTTGCTTCTTTTTCCATTTAATTTGAATCCTGTCAGTCTGTAGTGAGTCAATTCCCAGGATAAATTTCTACAACCAGCCCTTCTTAGCAAAACCTTGTAACCATTTCCCTGTAGAGAGACAAGATTTTAGCATATTATCTCCACCTTTTTTGCAAGTTTAGACATGGAATTAACATATACCTACAATCCCCTTAATTATCACCACTCAGTCATGGGAGGTGACCCCCTCCCCTTTTCCCTCCAGCCTTTACCCTATCTTTATAGATGGCTTTTTCTAATAATCTACTAACTGTTGTCTGATTGCCTTTGTTCAAATGTCATTGTTTCATGGAAACTTCTGAAGCTGAACCGAACCAGTTCTGTTGTGGACTTGAATGATGCCAATTGGTTGGGATTTATGTTCCTTTGAAATGTACGCTTCTGGGAAGGCAGGATTTCTTATCCCCTTCATTTCACCTAATTTAGAGTTTTCACTAATGAGGCTGCTTTGTTTTCACATCTAAGAGGCTTGAACACAAATATCTATTATAAAACACTATTCCATACATTTAGTTACGTTAATTATTACTATAAGATAAAGCAATAATATAATTTCATAGATATCACAGAGTGTAGGGTCGGAAGGGACCTATCAGATCACTGATTCTGCCCCTCTGCCGTGGGCAGGAAAGGGTGCTGGGGCCAGATGACCCCCTAGGTGTTTGTCTCCTCTTAAATACCTCCACAGAAGGGGATAGCACCACCTCCCTTGGAATCGTATTCCTTATTTTAGAAACCCTCCCTGTGAAGAATTTTTTCCTGATATCTAATCTAAATTTGCTCTCCTGCAATTTCTGCCCATTGTTTCTAGTTACCCCAATGGCCGTCCTGGTAAACATTGTATCCCCTATTTCCTGCTGCCCCCTCCTGATGAGTTTGTAGATGGCCACAAGATCACCTCTCAGCCTTCTCTTGCAGAGGGTGAAGAGATTCAGGTCCCTCATTTGGTCCTTGTAGGGTTTTTCCTGTAGGCCTTTAAACCTATGGGTGTCCATCCTCTGAACCCTTTCCAAGTTATCTAAATCCCTCCTGACGTGTGGTGCCCAAAACTGCATGCAGTACTGCAGCTGCAGCCTGACCAGTGCCACAAAGAGGGGACGTATCACCTCAATAGACTTGTTTCTGATGCACCTACTCATGCAAGAAAGAGTGCGGTTAGATTTACTTCTTAGGGCTGTGCAACATGGCACCGCTCCGTTTCACTTGAGTTTCAAGGTTTCGACGGAACAGTGTTTCATATCGAATTTTAGTTCAATTTGAAACAGCTGCTCCGTTTTGCTTCGCTGAAAATAGTAAGGCTGTTTTGACTCCGTTTCGATGTTTCGCTAGATCGGGCAGGGATGTGGAGTCAGCCCAGCTGATCCATCCCCTGACTGATCTTGTCCCAGGGATTGGAAGTCAGCCCATCTGGACCGACTTCCCATCCCTAGCGCTATGGTCGAAACATTTTGACTTTTGAAACCTTTCGACTAGCCTCATTTTGTTTCAAGGTTGTTTCAATGCCCTTTGTTTCCTTTTGATTTTGCTGTTTCAACCTCAAAATGAGTCAAAACAGTGTCGAAACGAAACAGCTGGGGAAATTTTGCATAGCCCTGTTACTTATTACTTCATCACGTTGGTGACTTGTTCATGTTGGAGTTGACTATGACTCCGAGATCCCTTTCCGCTGCTGTGCTACCGAGAATGGCACCTCCCAGGCTATAGGGGTGTTGATGATTCTTCCTCCCTAGGTGCAACACACGGCACTTGTCGTTGTTAAACTGCATCCTGTTCTGTTCTGCCCACTTGCCCAGCCTGTCCAAATCCACCTGGATTTGCTCCCTGCCCTCTAGTTTGTGTACCTCATCCCATAGTTTGGTGTCATCTGCAAACATGGACAGAGTGCTTTCTACTCCCTCATCCAGGCCACTAATGAAGATATTGAACAGTACCGGTTCCAGGACTGAGCCCTGGGGGACTCTGTCCTGGGACTGGATAATATATATTATAATATATTTGGATTACCTGCTTTAAGTCCTTGTGCTCTGCTTCAGCTTCATTTGCTCTGTTTCCTTTGCTAGATGTCATGTCTGCAAAGGTTCATTCTGTGGTTACTCAAAAACAGGCTTTTGGGACTTTTGCTGTTCCACAGTCCTTTGCAAAATTGACTCCATAGATTTAAGAAATATAATTTCTTTCTCTTTTAGCTTTAGGCTCTAATCCTATCATCTCTGTGGAGGATTACCAGAGGGGAGGGAGCCGTGTGAGGTGTCGATCATCTGAGTGGTACCCAGAGCCCCAGGTGCTGTGGAGAAATGCCCAGGGGCATCATATAGCATCGCTTTCTGAAATCAGATCCCCAAAGGTGAATGGCCTGTTTGAAACAGAAATTTCTGTTGTCATAAACGAACATTCAAACCTGAACTTGTCCTGTTGGATCAGGAACAGCCTCCTCGACCGAGAGAAGGAATCAGCAATTCATATATCAGGTCAGTTTCTATCCAAACCCTCCAGTGAACCGTCTCCGCTGGAAACCAAGTGAAACATGAAGCAAACACACACACGGCTAGCATTTCCACAGTATCATGCTAGAAATCCATTGAACTGTGTATATGCAGTTTATCAGAATCCAGATTTTATCTCACTCTGAAATGTTTCTTTAAAGAAACTGGCAGACACAGTCGCTCAAAATATCAGAGCAGTATTTTAGTAGTATCTATCTACCAGTATCGAGTTATTTGGGAATTCTTAAAGGCTTTTCAGTGCTCTGCACCATTGTTCATTATTTATCATGTAAAATTCACAAAGTTGTGTGTTGTTGCTCCTCTTTTAAATGTTGTTAAGTGGGGCAGCTCAGCTCCGAGCTTTAGTTTATCTTCATTTGTAGCAGGGGACGATGACCCTCTTCCTTGAGTCTCTCAAGCGTAATATAACAACCCTCAAACCAAAAGGCATTGAGTGCTGTGCCAC